TGGGAACTTTTTATATAGTCGGTTGATTATTAAAAAAAACAGTCAATCATTTCCTCTATTATTTTGATACAATTTTAATTTTTTTATTTAAATAAATAATAATAAATGAAAATAAAATAAATAAATGAGTAGCGACAGTCAAAATTAGGAATAACCGCGAAGATCTACAGCAGGCCACGCCTTCATCATCTCTCATTATTGTGTTCCGCAGGAAAAACCAACCTGATATCGAACCGCTGTCCTTCTCCCATTACAAATTCTAAACCAACCGGCGAAAGGACCACAAAGAAAAACCATAAGTATTGCTCACAGGTTTTACGTCACCCTGACGTCAACCCAAATGTCATTGCGTGGTCTAATTCTTGGTCATATTTCGTGGTTGATGAAGATTTCAGCCCTCATAATGGAGAAACGGAGTTGAAATTGGTATTGATCTCGACTTCCGCACAGCGGTCGGTCTAATGCACCGCCACCAAAGCAGCTATCTCTGTGTTGTTACGGGCCGAATAAACGATAGTTTTGGTGTTTGGTGTTTGAGCAGGTTACAGGATTAGGCAGTTTCAGTTGGCTCTTGGTCTCCCTGTTGAACTTCCCGTGAACAAGAGGTGACGGGCCATCACGCGAAGGCTTGACGAAGAGTTCAGTTTTTGAGTACCTATTACCACCGGATATCACCGGTGACAACGGGTTGTGGAGGAAGAACCGCCACGTGGAAGTCGCTGGTTAAAAAAAATTGACCTTTTAAGAATAATCCAATTTCTTAAGATTTTATTATTATTATTATTATTATTACCTAAACGTTAAAATCCTGTTTTAATAGAAAGATCAAGAATATTGTAAACTCACACAACTTTAAGTAAACAAAAGATAATCATAGAGAGTCAACTCATACATGAAGAACTCCCATAAAAAGTACTTAACGGTGAGTCATTAACTCCGTAGGATATCCAGCGGGGAGTTGCCTCTCATTAGAATAATCAAAGGTTCTCACAAGCCACTCAACTCATCTCGTCTCCAGTAAGAATTAGCCTGCGAAGCCACTAATCGTCATATGTTATGGAGCATTACCAACCTTGCTCATCCTCTCAGTTATAGAAAAGCATCTATTCAAGGGCAATTTATTAGGTATGGTTACCTGACAGAGAGAATCATCCGGATTTCTCTCTGTTTATAATAAAACCGCAGCCAAAGCATAATCAAAGCTTAGTTACTGTAGTAGCTACGCTTTGACTGCGCTTTTACTATAGACAGAGAGAAATATGGAAAAGTATCTCTCTGTTAGGTGATCGTACCTAATAATTTTCCCTATTCAAGAGGGTTCTAGCTCGTCTCATCACAATTAGCTAACTAAGGAGCTTACCGTCCCCACAGCTTAAGCACAATCTCATCTCACTCCGAGGCAAATCAGGACTTTACAATGGTTGCCAATGGCTATGGGATACTCGCCAACCACAACCTTCTTTGCTCATTACACGCCATCAAGCTTGTCTACACCTACTCGCTTTATACACTCAACATTGCAGAACTAGCCCTAAGAAAGAAATATGATTAAGAGAGGTAAGCATCCATTAGGTTAGTTAGTGTGACACTCATCTTGAGCAATTTGTACTAATAGTTATTAAGTTGTCTTTCACATGGCTTTCGAATCACTATAAATTATGAGTGAATAGGAATATGTTTTAATATGTTTTATCTTTTTGACATTTTTATTATTGATACTTGAGCTAGTAGATTATTTCCTATGAAGTTTTCCCCCTCTTTTTCTTCATTCTCTCACACGGGTTTTCAAGTGGTAACTTTT